TATGTACACAAAGCACCGCTAATTAGTTCGTAACGCTCACATCGACACTACTGTCATTTACACAATGTACATGTGTGGGTAATTTCATATTACTGTGTATAAAAATATTCGTCCACCACGTTCACATTGGTATTTTCATTCTTGTGTCGGTATACGTATTTTTATAATTTAATGCATGGGTAAGGTTAAAACTATTTACAATCATTGATATGACCCGACATTTTCACTGTAATTATCGTAGTGCTCGTGGTCGATTGGTTAATGAGTACGCTTTTATCGTCTTTCAAGGATCAATGATGATGTGGGTTCTATTCCAGCTAAAAGTTTTTTTTTATTTTACCTTGTTGTTTTTCTTATTTATTTTTTTTTTGTTTTTTGTCATATAATATAAATATCAGGCTATAAAAGAAGCAAATCAGTCGGTAAATAAAACAATACTATTTTTTATTAAAATTAATTTATTAATTATACAAATATGTGGTTTTATATTCAATATTTATATCTAATAATTAATTATATACCACATGTTAACTTTAAAGTTCTTCCAATCATTCTAAATTATTCTAAATAATAAATAACTAGAACTAAAATATAAATAAAGGATATTATAGGTATAAATAAATCTAAAGTATTTACTATTAAAATTAACATAAGATTTAGAAAAATAGGATAGGAAAAAAAGAAAAGATTTAATTGTTTCTAATTTCACATTTCAAATATTTGATTAATTAATACTAAAACAACATGTGAATGCTGGAATCGATCCGGTGGCACTTTACTTGACCACTGGAGGCGATAACCATTGCGCCAAGCGCGCCGTAGATGAGAACATCGAAATATTGTATATCATTCAGTAACATAAAAATACAATGAGAATGCACTATATTTATATAAGTATTGTATTGCTCGATCGTTCATTATTTTTGATTTCGATTTATTCAAAGTTTGTTATGAGTATTTTTATCTTTACCCTCGTTTTTATTTAAACTTATTTACTAAAATATTACGTATACCGACACAAAAATGATATGTAATACCAAGATGTGTGTGATAGAACGAATGTTTCTATACATATCTATTAATATGAAATTACCCACACATGTTCACTGTGTAAATGATAGTAATGTCGATGTGTAGCGCCTCGAACTAATTAGCGGTGCTTTGTGTACATTATGCAACTTTACAATGTAACACCCACTTTTCACTATTTATGTTATGAGTCCCATGTAATAGGGGGTGAGCCTATTGCCATATACCAGGCACAATTCCAGACTCAGGCTACTACTGTTGATTTTTTGGAAAACCCCTAATACTTTGCCCGACCTGGGTATCGAACCCTAGACCCCTTGACCGGCAGTCGCACTTGCGACCACTCGGTCAATGAGGCGGAGGCAGCATGTAATAATCTGTATGATATATGAAAATAAATCCCCTATTTTATTATATAAGTTGCAAATGCTTCTGTATCACGGACTAGCTGTAGTCCAAAATGTAATTTTAATAGAATTTAACGCGATTAATAACATTAGATCGCCATGTTCGACTAATGTCAAATGCATAATGTAACAAATTGTAATCGTCGTAATATGTAGGTAATAAGAATAATATTATACAGTAATCAAAACTTCTTTACTTCTATACAATCATTCAAACATTCAACATTCGTTCAAATATTCGTTGTTATGGTTAGATTATAACCTCAAAATCTGATACTTTATTTACCTAAATATTTTCTGCAGCTAGTCCGCTATAAAAACAAGATCTTCTAGGAGTTTACAAATGATAGGGAATACAATACATAATTATTCGCTTCTGTTGGCTGCAGGGCCAACAACGTATGGACGCAGAGCAATGTCCTTTCGCATTCATAAATTTAGTAGGATGAATTTATGAACAAATATAATTCGACATTCCCTACCAGATAATCACTACATAATATAAAAGAAAGCCGCTATCCGCCGTCTGTCTATCCCTATGTATGCTTAGATCTTTAAAACTACGCAACGGATTTTGATGTGGTTTCTTAAGGAAGGTTTATATGTATAATACATGCATATTGCACCCGTGCGAAGCCGGGGCAGGCTGCTAGTATTATTTAAATATAAGTTACAATTTTAAGTACAAAGTTATTTCATTTAAAATGTCTTCATTCATTGTACAACAAGGTTCAACAATATAAACAAGTGAATATCTATTAAATACACAACAATTATTAACACAATACTGCCTCGCATGCAGTTGCATTTAAACACATTATTTAAATATCATACATTATTATAAAACAAAACTTCTCAATATATGTTTGAAGAAATCCCATCTTACTTATTGTTTTACTTGTATTAATTTAAATAAAAACATATGACTTTTGTTATGGATTTATCAAAATAATGTCATATTTCAGGTATATATATAGATAGTACGTTAGCCACAATTCAGCAGTCTTAGGTTCTGTGCTATATTAGCATTGTAAGACGATTCAAGACAACAATGTTTGGACGTCAAACAAAAATGATAAATAGACAAAATCTTATTTAAATTTGTTGTTTTGTTCTTCTTTCTTTAAAAAAACCTTTGCCTCACACTAGGATTTTCTCCTGTGTCGTGGGGAATTTTACAAACATACAAGTTCACATACACATGACACTCAGACCCAAAACAATTTGTGGATCACACAAAGAGTTGCTCCGTGTGGGATCGAACCCGTTACACGCTACGACCGGTTGCCGAGTCGTGTTTAAACGTAAATTTGAAACCTCAAATCCCTTCCCATTCTTGTTAAATAAGTAAGGAAAGGATTTACTCCAAAACAAAATGGACAATACACAAAAACAAAGAATGCTTCAATTTCAGCAAAATTATACAAAAGACACTTACTAGCATTATGAACAACGGGTGCTACCTCAGTGGGTCGCTCAGTGGTCTCCCTATCCACACAGCAGGCCCAGATCATGCCACCTGAACATAAGTCTAGGGGCTTCCCACCCCCTAGGACGCAGGATATACTCAACCCACATGGGTACCGAGCACCCCTGTAACGGCAAGTTTGGGGGATCACTGAAACAAATGAAAATTTTGTGTTTTAGACATAAAAATAAAAAAATGTAAAATCACGCGTTTTACCCCCGAAGGGATAGGCAGAAGTGCACATTATGGTAGTTAATAAATTTAAAAAATAATAATATAAAGTTTTATTTTCAGGTGTCGAGCGTCGTTTTCACTATTTATGTTATGAGTCCCATGTAATATATGTGAGCCTATTGCCATATACCGGGCACAATTCCAGTATCCGTGTTACTAGTGATTTTTTTTAAAACCCAGTAAAACTTTGCTCGACCTGGGAGTCGAATCCGAGGCCCATTGCCTTGCATTCTACTACTCGGCCAACGAGGCAAGCAATGTGTTAGAATATGGTTATTTAAACTAAGAAAAACAACATAATGTTCGATATACAGATATATAATCTAAAGAACGCTTTGTTTACATACAAAGATATTGACAAAATGTTTACGAAGTCCAAATTTCTATCATCCTAAAAACATTTTGTACCTAGGTACTAGCTTCCACCCGCGACTTCGCCCGCATTTTTTTAAGGGGCTTCATCGAATGACTGCTCCCGCCTGGGTGAGGCGCGAGGGAGTGTCAACTCATACTGACTAAAAACCACCCCGTTCCTTCTCCTGCGCTTCGAGCCGGAGCCCCGGTAACCCGTTAGGTTCTCCGCGACACATTACCACGGAATAAAAATAGCCTATGTGTTATTCCAAACCATAATCTATCCCTGTTGCAAATTTCTAGCGCCCCACCGTTTTTTTAGGGGGGAAACATTAAAGGACTTATCCCGCCTTGGATGAGGCTAGAGGGAGTGTCAGTCTCTTACTGACTAAAAACCACCCCGTTCCTACTCCTGCCCTTCGAGCCGGAGTCCCTATACCGCGTTAAGTCCTTCGCGGCTCTGTATCGGCAACAAACCTTCTGGGCCCTATCTGTGGTGGTAACCTCTGTGCTTAGAGATCAACGTTTAAGTTCGATATTTTATTAAACTAGAGAATAATTTATTTATTTATTTATTTATTTATTTATTTATTTAAGGACAACCAACAAAGCATACACCAAAATACATGATAGGTTTTTTAACATATTTTAACACTCTATAGTGTAGCCTTAATTAAAGGCTGCCACGACATGCATTATAAAAGAACAGGATAAACAACAAAAAAAAACAATAAGTTCGCTTATCAAAAAAGACATCAATTTCAATCACAATTGTTACTTCTTCTCAACTTTTAAATTGTACAATTTTGATTTGAATATGTAGTACATATTGTGCAGTTTAACTCTGTGAGAATGTCCTACGCAGGACAGTTTTCACTTTGAAAAGAGAATAGGACATGTCAATATCCACACTAAGTGAGCATGACAGGCGACTAAATTGTTCTTGCATTCTATTAATTGAGGAAAAATGACCCAGGCTTGTTTTAAAGCCTTTACCTGAAAGCAACCGATATCTAGACATTCGAGCCAGTTTGAAGGGCACATTGACATTAATCTGGCTAAGTAACTGCGGACAGTCGATGTGATTGTTTATTAGTTTGTACAGGAAGAGGTGATCTAGAATTTTACGGCGATTATCCAGACTCATCAGTTT